TGAAGACGTAACATCGTTAAAACCAAGGACACGTTGGTTATACATTTACTTCCCCTCCCCCTAAGAGGTTGTCGGAAAGCCACATCCGCATAGTTGTTCTCTCCTGTCTTGCACTAATCGTTAATTTTTCAAAGTGTTAGGTTACTGGAAAAGAAGCAAGAGCAAACAGGGAAAGCGGAAAAGTCCATATTGTACTTGATACCGTAATTGACGGGTCCCCTTCTTTTGGTTTTTCTTTTTCTTCTTACCTTCACACCTTGATCCTTTATACCCAGTGATGCACTGGCAAGCGAACCCAGTCCCTCCTACAACTTCTCGACAATAGCCACCATGTTGGCACGGATTAGGACGACATTGATCGATTTCTGGGACAAAATGGAAACGAAAAAAAATAATAAAGAAAAGACCACGTGCCTCAGGGCAAATCTTGGGATCTCATTTTCAACTCAACTTGGATTTCTCGCGTATAAACCATACATACATACGACTTGGGCGCTTGTATATTAAGTGAATTCAATAATTCAATGGAAGTGGAGGTTAATTTATTTATTCCGGTCTATTGATAAAAATTCCATAGATTTACACTTTAAACCTGGTTTGAGCAGACATGGCTAGTAGCTGTGAACTGTATATTAGGTGTCTTACCCTGACAAGTGGATCCTTTGAATCCCAGCGTGCAGTTGCAGGCGAAGCCTCCACCGATTTCCGTGCAAAAACCACCATGACCGCAAGGGTTGGGCCTACAGGGATCTTTTTCTGAAATAGCATTGAAGGAAATTGATATCTCCATGTTGCTGACACAGACGTGCATTTAAAACCCTCCATAGAACACAACCGTGGACTAGCCACGAGTTTACTGTAATGAGTTTTTCACAATAGAACGCGAAACTAAAAAACTTCGTCTAATCCTGATCTCATGACTTATCCACACATGTAAATACACACTATGTTCGTAGCTCTAAAAGAGTAAATATGATCAATTCCTATTTTGGTGTTTCCGATTCTTCATGAATTTACAGCCTACCCCGACATGTGGTTCCTCTGAATCCCAGTGGACATTCACAATCGAAGCCACCACCAAAAAAGTGAGCTATACATCTGCCTCCGTTTAAACAAGGATTTGGTTGACATTCATCTTCCTCTGCGAATAAGAAGTGGTCCGAAATGAACGACACATACGATATTAAGTAACTACTATACCCACCTAACGATGCCTTGCATGTTAAGTAAAAAATTTGATTGCCAAATAATTGATTGATTATACAGTTTATAGCACATAGTGTATGCAAGGCGCCATTCTAAAACCACAGACACACCTGTACATGTTTCTCCTCTATATCCCGTGGCACATCTGCAAACAAATCCATCGGAAGTAGAGAGACACTTTCCTCCATTGTGGCAAGGGTTTGGATGGCAGGGCTCCCTCTCTGATTAAAGCATCAAAAGAAAAATAAGCAAAATGGGAGAAATGCCGAATGAGCACAAAGCAAAACATCAAAGACTATTTTACTCGACTCACAGTAACTTTGGTATTTTGTTATTTCTCAATTCTTGTTACTGGACGATAGCCATCGTTTCCAACTTACCATTACAAAACGTTCCTCTGTAGTTCACAGTGCAAGTGCAAACAAAACCTCCTTCCTCTGTCTTGCAGGTTCCTCCGTGCTGACACGGGTTGGACAAACAACTGTCAACCACTGTGGTTTAAAAAGAGACTTACAATGAGACTGAGGATGAGAAAGATTCAGAGATAAAATTAAACATATAAATGGAACAATTGGTTAAAACATCTACGGGCCTATCACTTTGAAATTAAGTGAAACGAGCAGCTCTCTTCACATCCGCATTGTCGAAAGGTGTACCTGAAATTATTCCTCTTTCTCAATTGTAGCAGTTTGATTATCCATCGTTACAGATATGGTAAAAGGCAAGTCTGTAAGCGAGCCAGGTGGCCCATCAGGCAGGCGCTTATCTCCTGTTTCAGTGGCATGAAGCGACTAGGAGTACTTCTACTTCCCCCGGGATGGGATGCTAGTCCATCGCAGGGCTACCCCCAACATTAACTATACGCCAGTACCCATTTATACACCTGGGTGGAGAGAGGCGCGGTGAGAGTAAAGTGTCTTGCCCAAGAACAACCATCGTAATAGTCTTACTTTTACACTGCTCTCCTGTGTAACCTCTCTTGCAGGTACATTTGTAATGGTCGCCTTGTTGTGAACATGCTCCACCGTTGTGGCAAGGATTAGGATCGCAAGCGTTTTTTTCTAAAATAATAAACCATATATTAGTGGAAACTTTTACCGAGTGTTAATTAATAACAATACGTCTACGGATAGTTAACGCATACATATCCAATAAGTTAAATAGGATAATCGTTTGATTTTTTTTTTTTAAGAAATGGTTGTCAGGGTTCTTAGAACTTTGGCTAGGAAAGATCCAGGGAGAACATTTCTTGGTGTATAAAAGAAGTACCCCAAGTTATCTTCTCACTAGGTTACAGCCGCATTCGGAGAGTTGAAATCAGCTTAACCATTATGATGCCTTACGGTAATTCCGTACACTAACCATGGAAAATGCGGCTGTATCCTAATGCGAAGAGACATCGTGGAATATCCAGCTCTCGCTATTTCACGAGGTAAGTGGAATATATCATCATTCTCTTTGTGCATCGTTATTTTCATGTTGTTATGCCAAATACGAAGGCGCAGTTTGTTGACAATAGCACAGCTTAAACTTCTTCTTCTCACATTTTGCAGCTTTAACTGTTCCAAGATTTTTTGCATATTTTTACAGATAAGATTGTTCTTTAACTGGAGTATAGTTTTAGGATGCCAAGTGATTTTTCTGTGGCTATTTTTTCTTTCAACTTAACCATATTTATGGCTCTTCAATAGTAGTTTAAAGGTGAGAATTTTAATATTCAGTATAAGAAAAAAAAATCTCGATAACATTTTAAAAACAGCCTCCCAAAATAACAACAAACATCTGCTTGACTCGAGTAATGTTCTTTTAATCGCATTTATAACTTTTTCTTTTTATTGCAAAATGTTAAAAAATGTGCTCTTAAATGGTCGCCTAAAACCCACTCACAGCGGCAAAACCAAGATAGTCGCCCTAACGTTAAAATACGAATCGAATTAGACTGAAAAAAAAAAACATAGCCAATAGCACTTTGTCAAAATTCGTAACCGGCAAGCTGCTTTAAAATATGTGCACAAAACACCCACCTTCACAGCTTTCTCCTTTGTATCCAGGAAGACATATGCATTTGTGACCTCCCTCGTAACCCAGGCACTGGCCTCCGTTCTTACATGGGTTTGGAATGCACATGTTTATATCTGAAATAGAACGGGTGAAGTAATGATTAACTTTGAGTCTAATACATATAATTCAACCGAAAAGTCACGGGGAGAGTACTCCGAAATTAAAGCGAAGGGAAGGGGGCTGGGGAGGGAGACAATATAGGCAAAAGGTCCCTAGAACAATAGCAATTGATTTCTTGGGGCTCTGCTGTTGGGAAGTACATGTAAATTAAATTAACGACTGACTGATGATTAATAAAGATAATTTAACGGCCGTAGTAAACTTAGAAAGTTGGACGTTGTTTTTCGTTACGCCCTCTTTAGACGTAAGAGCAACATTTTATACTCACACTAAAAACTTCCGCTTTACTGGTTACTTTTATTAGCGTTAGGCTTGATTTAGCAAGCTATTTTTATACTTTTCTGATGAACAACTGGCCAATTGAGTGAACCCGAGAGTAGATGGATGGCAAGGTACACACTGGCACCTCCTGGGTTAAGAAAAATCAAGGCTTGATTTGGGGCATGTTGCATTCTTTTGTCATCGAACTTATCAATATTTTGCAGTAACCGGTTCTTCTAAGTTTGGAATCAATCTAATGGTAACTTCTTTTTGCATCAGCTGGAATTTACAGGAATTTGGTACAACAATATTTTCTGGAGACCTACCCTCACAGCGCAATCCCTGATATTGCGCCTGGCAATGACACTTGAAGCCGTTATCCGTTTCTACACAGTCTCCGCCATGTTGGCAGGGATTGGGCTTGCAGTGGTCTAGCTCTAAAGGTTGGAAAGTACGCACAATATGTGAGACACAGCATTAGTTGCATCTAGCTGGTCTGGCCAGTTGATTTCATTTTTTTTTTTACCTTAGGAAGTGTTAGCACGAGGGAGTGTATACATTTGATTGTTTATTTACTTACCGTCACAGTATGTTCCTTTGTACCCTGACGGACAGACGCACTTAAAGCCACTGTCGTGCTCAATACACTTTGCGCCATTCTTACACACATTTGGTTGACAGCTGTGACGTACTGAAATATAAAATTGCTTTAGTTTAATCACTCATATGATTCTTATCATCTCCTCTTGCTGTCGCATTTGTCGATGGAAATTCGATTTCGCTGGTCTGGCCTATTCTAAGACCTGAAATCGACCTAAATAGCATTATTTTGGCCTATGTAGCTTGCAAATGGGATATGAATGGCCTATGCAGCTTGGCACAGTTTCCCAATACAGACCTCCTGGCCTGAAAATAACATATATTTATTGAGAAAAAGCTCCTACCTGAACAGGACTTTCCACTGTAGCCTATTTGACACAAACACTTGAAGCCGCTTTGTGTTTCAAAGCATGTACCGCCGTTTGCACATGTGTCCGGTTGGCATGGACTTCGCTCTGTAATTGAAATACAGGCATCGATTTGTATATGGTTTAAACTCTTTACTGGCATCTGATGTATTTGGAAGTACAATAACGAAAACGTGTAAAACTAAAAACGAATAAAATGGGATGGAAAAAAGAGATCAGGAAAGTCATTGTTGGGGCAAAGGAGTTGTTGAGGAGATTGTCATCCTATAGGGAAAAGGAATGGCGTGGAGGTTGGCTAGGGAACTTCTTTAGTTTACGCGCCTAGATGAAAATAATTTATGTGGCTTTACGTGTTCAATGGCATTATGGGTGTAAATATACTTAGAGCTCTTTTTATTTCGCCAAACTTTTGAAAATTTATTTTGCGAAATTGAACGCCATCTTCTGGAGTATTAGACTGAGGCTGTTTACGGAATTTCTGAAAGAGGGGACAGTTTCACAGGATGAGATTTCAGGTTGAATTGAATGATTCGTAAGTCGAACAATCCATAGTTTTTGGATTGTATNCCCCCCCCTCCATCCCACTCTTATTTAAAAATGAAGTTTTAAATAACGTTGGCGTGCTGGTGGTTACCTTCACAGTTGACGCCTTTGTATCCCACTGGACAGCGACATTCGTATCCTGCTCCACCAATAGACTCGATGCAGGTCCCTCCATTCGCACATGGATCTTGCAAACACTTACTCTGCGTTACTGTAAGGATGAAAGTAAATCAAGGAAATCATTGACCGATAACACAAGACATCTACCGAATTAATCCTTGTTGGAAGAACAAATAATAAACTTTCCGAACAGACTATTTTGGGAACTGGGGTCAAGGTGGCTTTGGTTTACAAACTTAATGTGGGAAGATTCTTCACAAGAAGGGGCAATCCATTGTTTTCTCAAATTATGGCTTTATCCTTGAAGACTATTTCTATTTTATAAACGGCATGGAACTGAGACATTAAATTTTAATTGTTGATTTGTTTGACCATGGAGAGCTGGAATTCTCCGAAATTGTCATTGGTCTAAGTTTCACGCGCGGTGAATTTACGCAAAACGTGGCATTTGCTTACATTTACTGGTGTTCACCAATCGGAAGATCCCAGATTTTCCAATTGAAGTATTCGTTCCATTATCCGGTAGTTTTCCGTTACATTGAACGCCGGAAAACGCCTGTTTTCTGGAATTTACAAGTCTGTTAACACTTGGCGAGTAATGTCTTGTCTGCCTCTGTTCACAGATGTTTTCCCGGTGTAAAACTTCACGTTCATCCGGGGTTAACAGTTGAAAACCGGCGTTTTCCCTTGTTTTCCAGAACGGCAAATTCCGTTAAATTTCGCAAAACACACTGTTTACCAGAATTTTTTTTTTTTTTTCTGTGCTTTTCTTTCATTTTCCCTGACGGCAAAATCGCGTGAATTCACGAAAACGCTTGTTTTCCAATGTTGACCGTTCGATGAACTTTTGGAAAATATCGTGTCTTCCTGTGTTCGCAGAAATTTTCTTGTATTTTCTAGGACAGTGAGTTCGGTTGAATTCAAGAAAACGCTTGTTCCCTAGGGCACCTCGATAACGTCACATAATCTTGAGAGTGTATTATTGCTATAGCAATTTTTACCAATGAATATTTTCGAATAGTAAAGAAATGGCTGTTGAAAGTAAGTTATTTTACCTGCACATGTCGTCCCAGAGAAGCCAGGTTTACATACGCACTCGAAGCTCCCAGATGCTGCCTCAATACAATGGCCGTCGTTAAGACACGGATTTTGAGAACAGCTCGTTCTTTTTTCTAAAAGGTATTGGGGATCAATTAGTTTGATTAACTTTGATAGTTTATTCTTAGAGCAAATCTATACATATAATTTTTTTTTTTTTTTTAACATGGCTACTCTCAAGTTATACTCGTATAGATCGCTTTTCGTGATGATATCTGACCAAGTCGCCAATGGAAAGCGTAAAAAAGAAAACAGTGGCCCGTCAAACCAAAATCTACACAAAAAAGAAATTAAACGTGTCACAGTAAAACTGATTTTGATCAAAATCTAGATTGACGAAATACGGTAGTATAACTTAATCATTGAGGGGACTCAACAAATGAAACATCAAACAAACAGATAATTGCTGATCAAAGATAATGAGTTAACCACTGCAAACGGTTAAACGAATTGATACGCTGGAATATGGAACGTAAATACAATGTGACATCTAAGAACACGGAAAGTCTCTCCGAGTTGGTCTAGAGCTGCCAATGTTTTAGAAGGTTCATTCTAAAAGTAATGTTTATAAATTATCGTCTAAAGCTTTCGACGTGAGAACTTTTAAGTGGTTGGAACTTGAAACATAAAGAGCTAACGTTTGAACATCTCAAACCTTCACAACTTTTCCCATGAAATCCATGGGGACAGGTGCATTCATAGTCAAACTGTAATTCTGTGCAAGATCCTCCATTCATACATGGATTTGGATGACACTTGTTGGGTTCTACAGGGAATGAGAAGTATGCTTAATGGTTGGAATGGTTGGATCTACAATTCCCTGTCACAGTTATTCAAGCGCAAAAGAAAACTTCCAAAAAGCCAAAGGAATTATTTTAGGTTAGAGGACAAAGTTCGATGGCACTTAAGTAATTCACAGTTAGAGTAAGTTTGTAAATATTTGTTTTAATTCATGTAAGTTGTATATAGTCTAATTATACATTCGTTGCAAGTATTCAAGTATTCTCTAATCCAGTGTGACTAATGATGGTTGGGGTCTATCCATATAAGTCCTCTTTTATGAGAAAAAAGGGCTCAGTAAGACCATTAAACTACATTAGGTACCTGGAGAAAATCGCTTACTTCAGCGAGACTAGAGCAGTTGAACTCCGGAATAATAGCAAGGTAGGATCAGAGCTTTATTTCCAAATACATATTTTTATGACCATTCAATATTTTTTCTCACAAACTTGCGGGTAGTATATCGTTCTCCGTATAAAGCATGGCATGGCCTGGTGTTTATTTTTGAACCTGGCTAATTCAGCTAACCCCATAGTTTGACTTCCACCTGTTACTATTCAAATAAACCAGGTGTTTGGAAAGACAAAGACAAAATTGCCATCCATGGAACAAACAAAAACATTGAATGAAACAATGATGTCGCCTAAGGCCTCCTGGGTGGTTGGCTGGGAATGACTGCGGGTCACCGACCTGTTCCCTAAACGTTCTTACCAGAAGAATTTTAATCACCCACACAGAAGAATTTTGTTTGTTTCGAATAGACATGCCATCCATATTTATAAACATCCATATCTTAAAACGTAGACAGAACAAAAAGGTAACGAAAGTTGTCCAAGCTTTTCCTAGGTAGTTTTATTATTTTTTCAAAGTCTCGGTTGAAACTTCTTCAGTACCTACCTTCGCACCTTTCACCCTTCCAACCAATGGAACACGAGCAATCGAAACTTGATCCTGAAACTGTACACTGTGCGTCGTTGTGACATGGATTAGGCAAACATGGGTTTCTTTCTGAATCGCCATGGGAAGGAAGCATCAAAGAGAATTGAGAAGATACCAACAACACTTTCGTAAGCAGGAAAACGCCCACGAGAAACATCGAATTCGCTACATAGGTACATTGACTATACCAAAACCAACACAAAATCTCTGAAGCATGTAATTTTGGCAAGGACAGAGGAACTTGTTGATACGGAGGTCTAAACACTTGCCATGCCACATGTTTGTTCACTGAACTTTTATGATTACCTCAGGGGCTAAGAACGACCCTTCTGTTTCATTAAAACGGGTGAATGACCGCCCCTTTATTTGAAAGTCATCACAGCGGATGGTCGAAGCGGGTGGTCGTAGTCATGAATTGTCTCCGCTCTGACAGTTCACGGTCTCTGGCATTTGATTGGTCCAATCGTGCGCCGTGTGACCAAAAACTTTTAAGGCCAAAAGACTCTTTATTTTCAACCAATCCGAATTCAAACGTGATGTTACTACTTTCTTTTTGGTTCACACGGTAAATTTTGCATGTTTCATTGACAGGATATACTACTGTTTTGGCTAGTTATGGCACAAACTCCTCCAATTAAAGATACAAGTCATTGAGCAAATTTCATTGCCTCTTTCGCAATGCAATTTCGATATCTTTTCATAACATTTGGTTCGAAATTGCCGTAAAATATTAAGTGATACAAAAACAATGACATAACAAAATAAGCTTATACTTGTAAATGCAGAAACCAAATAAAAAGTGTTCGACCATAAACAGTTAAACAACCAACAACAGTCAGGCTGCGTTACGGAGGAAAGTTTACTTTTTATCACATTGAAAAACAAACAAAACCAACTAAAAAACAAACAAACAAACAAACAGAAAAAATAAAAGATATAATTTGGGATTTATGTTTGTCACAAAAATTCAATATAAGGATATTTTCTCTATATCGATAGTTGCCGCAACCAACCTACGAGGAATTTTAAAAGTAGTCATGACCCCGTATAATTTTACATTCTTCCTACATAATGTTTGTCTGTAATTGAATAAAATCAATGTAGTACTGTAACTGATGATATATATGGAAATAATTATGTTTTTGATGGAAAAATGTCTGGGAAAATCTGACTTTTTTAAGAGGAATTTGGGTTTCTGTGCACATTGTGCACAGTCCTAGTTTTAATGTAATTTTTAGTCAAATTCTATTAGTAAAATATAAATTATTGATTAAATAGAGTCAACCGTAGCGTTTTAAAGATTAGCTCTCAAGAAAAGTTTTTGGAACCACGTTTATTCAGACTTCTTGGGCTCGATCTGTTTTAAATGTGAACAAAATCGTAAACATCAGTCAAAAAAGTGGGGAAGCGAGATCTTGCGTCTCACTTGATGGTATGTTACCCCAATTAAATTTGGCTTCTCTTCAGCAAGAAGAAACTTTATAAGAATCTTAAAATTATTTCTGAAAATTATTATATTTTATCGGTAATACACCTTCTTCACTGATAACAATGGGGTAACAGGCTTACACAACTCCTATCCACGTGTAATAGCCGCTTTGAGAGTTTTGCTCGAACTAGTACATCTTTGAGGTTCTGCCCCCTTCGTATGGTACGATAGGGGGATCTTTGAATATTTCGCTAAGCAATAATCCTGTTTTTAGAAGGACATTTCACCAGAGTAGAGCCGTTAGAGGTCATAGGTCTGCGTGGTTTCCACTGTTATCCGCGTGTAATTTGTAGAGTTCGACACCTCTGTTTTTTGCCACGTGCTAGTTGTTATTGGCTCATTTGTATTGCAAGATATGTTTTAAGCTCTCNGAGTCTGTCTTAAAGAGACGTTCTTATGTTTCTTGCCATTTCATCGAGCGTTTTGTCCTTCCAGTTTGTTCGTTCTGGAACTGCAAATGTAGATGTTCAAGCGCAAGTCTGTGGACTGTTTTGCGTGTTGTTTATGATATTGTGTGGTTTTGTTCAGGCAAGAGCCCTTAATTTAGGAGTTGTTCATCCAGCTCCACGTTGTGGTTGTCATTGCTTTTATTTGCGATGTTGTCAGGTTTTCTTGAGACTGTTAATAGTCACTTTTTTGTTAGGAGGCTCGTAGCCTTGTAGATCAGGCAACTCAAATATCTCGACAAAGAAATTCATACAATCTTCGATTGAATGCATCAAGCTTCTGAACTTCTGTTTTGTTTTGGATTTGTGATCCATACCAATTGACGCTGTTATTGCATTATTGTTCACAAGTGTCTTTGCCTATATTCTAAACTGGGTACTCGCCCAAAAGAGATATTTAAATCCCTCTATCAAACATAGCATCACAATTATTTCACAGCAAGACATCTTTATTGAATCGAATGAATGCGATCATACTAAGATTTTACTGAGCGATAGTGTTACATGTGGTGTGGATGAGTAATCTTAGGAATGATTTTTTTATTGTATTTTACACGTAAAAGTGAGGACGACCAGTTCTTGTCCAAGCCTTGGCTTTTTGCATTGTGTTTTCCGTAAAACGCAGGCTTGAAGACCACGCTGGACGAATTTTATTTGGTCTCATATTTGCACTGTAAGTTTTTTGAAACGCCTTGTCGTACAAGAAATCTGAATTTGTTAATAAGCACCAATCTCGCTTTGGAATCCCAAAAGGCAGACTGGTCGAGGGCGTATTTGTAGCTTATTAACTACAATAGATCTCTAGAACGCGGCCTGAAATATAATTTTGTTGGAAGTTTGTTTGTTTGTTTGTTTGTTTGATTTCGTTATCTCTTGTCACTGTCACCACGGACAAGGAAGGGCTGACAAAAGAATTGGGCAGAGCAATTGTTTACTAGCCAATTTGGTATAATTTTCCTACTTAATTCTTGAAAGGAAACAAATGCTCAATAAGTGTAAATTATTCCGAGAAAAGTATGTATACATTGTCTATACCTTTTCCATGTTCTTGCACTAACGCATGTTTGCTATAGGCATGCAAAAAAGAAAAATAAATAAATAAGGCATTCTGAAATATGGAATACTCACCTTTACACTTCTTTCCAGTAAATCCTTTTCGGCAAATACATTCAAACGTTTCGCCGACATTTACGCAAGATCCTCCGTTGTGACAAGGGTTTGTTAAACAAACTCCACCTAAAAGTAATCACCAAGATTTCATTACAGTTGTTAATGAGAGATCATGTCTGGAGGACTATTTTATCTTTCCTCCCAACACTCAGCAGATCATCAGTTCGAATAACATGCAAGCTGCATGAGTTCAGGCTGTATTTCGATATTGCCTAAGTTGCGCACATCTGATTGAGACGATGTTTCAGGTACTATATCTTTCTCCTGCGGTTCTACCATGTTGTCTTCGCAACATTTTATGTTTCCAAAATATGACAACGTTTGCCTCAAGACAAGGAATTAATGCAAACTTTAAATGTAGGAATATTTGTATCAACCAGTGCTATTTCAGTAAAGCATTCCAACTGATTAAATTCCGAGGCTTAATAGAAGTCACTAACATCGTTCAGTCGTTCTGAGCCTCCATAACCCCACGCTACTGAGCTGGGGCTGAATTTACGAAACTCTCCAAGTGCATCCTAAACATTGTTTCATAACAACAGGCTTTAATCCTCGAACAATACTTAGAAACATCTTGGCCCCGTCCACACTAATCCGGAGAAATCTGAAAACGGTGTTTTCACTCTGAAAATGCATCGAATGTTTTCCGTCCACACTACGCCGGAGAAATTTGAAAACGTAACAACTACCGGTCATTTTGTATTTGTTTTTGAGGAAAACTCGGGCAGTGAAATCACATGAGTATTGTGATGTCATCGTTTTCGAAAAGCTCTGTTTTCAAAATGTTCAAACTGTTTTCCGCCCACATGTACACTGAAAACTGAAGCCGGCGTATTTAAATTACTCCGGTTTGAAAAGCGTTTTCGAAAAGCACCGTTTGCTAGACGGATTAGTGTGGACGGTAATCTATAAACTCTGAAACACCTCTTTGAATCCGGCCGCTGCTGATCCTACTAATTCTACAATTTCGCGGACATTTTGACCAAAAGGACACACGTTTCACAACATCTCTGATTTTTTTTTTTTCAAACAAAGCAATAACAAAATAAAGCTTGCATCGAAAAAGCTTAAGTTGGATCGGATTCTCATCGAGCGTAAATTGAGAGATGTTAAAAGAAAAGAAGTCACCCAATTTTCGCGCCAAAAGTACTACCTGTTGCACTACGCATGTAATGTATCTCCACTACCGATTGCAAAAGCGATAAAATTCAACGGTTGTTTCGCTACACTCACAACAACAGCACTTATGGTAATTTAATAGGAAGTCTAACCTGAAATAATTCATTTCCTAACTGCAAAAAACAAAAATATCGAGTGCAAAACCATATCGAAATGGGCGGAGCATTGAACCTGACACATTTTGACCTAATACAGCAATTTTGGGATGCTTGGTTTGGTTTGGCCATGGACAATGGTGACACAAAGCGAAGCGTGATATGCCACCGAGGCGAGACAAATTAACGCGACTAAGTACATTAAATGCCGTCAATTAGCGAAACGCCGTTTCATGACCAGCATATATTCACAGTTACTTGTCGAACATGAACAAAAACTAGAAATTTTGTACCATAACAAGAGGATCATCTTAGAAGGAAGTGAAATAATGTACAAGCAGTCACCCGTAACAGTTTCCATCGCAATTTTGCTGGTGCTGTAGTGATTAGTTGTAATGCTTCACAACCGTCTAAAATTTGCTGTGTTTTCGAAATGACGTAACCATCCAGACAAAATAATCTTCATCGTAAGAATATTTATGCGAAAACAGTATAATTTCTCACCTAAATATAAAGGCCAAGATTGATACGGAGCGTTTTGACTATATTATTTTTAGAGCTGGGAATAAAGAGACCACTGCATGAGTGTAAATTAAATGAAACTAAAATCAAATGAGATGAAAACCGTTAGCGACGGAATCAGACACGGAAACAGTCTGTCTTAGCCGATTTGCAAAATTATAGATTTTACAGGAATACAGAATCGACCGCATGGTGAAAAAAAAATTCACGACTATATTATCTCGTGGAAGCTCCACAATCACTAAACATATTCCTACATGTAAGCCAAGGGGGGATTAAATGTTGTAACCCAATAAAGTAAATTGACTACTGGTACATGGGTAAATGTTAATTGTCTAAATGAAAAAGCTATTAAACATCACACTGAACTGAATATCTTAAATGTCCCCTAGACTGGAAGGTTTACCAATATCCTGGTTTTAAAAAAGTCTCTCTATATAAAAAAACATCCCATGTGACGACTGTTACTGGCCAGCGGTCACTATAAAATCCATTTTCAGATTCCTACCTAACACAGACTGTAGCTATCTTGGATAAAGAAGGTTATAAGACTTTATCTTTTTTTTCTTCTTTTTATGTTGCTCTCTTCGTTTTAATTTTTTTTTCCTTTAGAGGCTTTTGTAAAATACTTTAGATTGTTTGATGGTAACAATCGTCTTTGCTAGGAGTATCCACTTCCGACACTGTGCCTAATGTACATGTACGTATATGACTTCCCAGATCTCATTTTCTTAGTATAGACAAACTAGTAAAGCTACGTTGCTAGAGAATGACTCTCCGACATCGCTGAGTTAGGCATTAATGTTGCGAAATTTTTGAACGTCAAGTACGCAGTCACTAACTAAATAGAATTTGCCGAGTTAACTTTATACGTTGATGGTGTTCCTATGTGCGATCGTCTTGAAGTCCGTAAGCGAAATCTTCAAAGGACATTTTGTCAAAGGACTTTAGCAGTCAATTTGACTTCGATGCAATTGAGGCAATTAACGGTTCTCGTCCGAGTTGTCAAGTGCAGCTGGATTGGAGTTGAGGAAATATGTGAACAAAGAATTAATAAGGTGGCTTTTTTCAATTAGTAAATTGGAAAGCAAATGTTTGAAGAATAATTTTAAAGAAAAACACTCTCCAGCTCAACGCTTAGCGCAGTTGAATATTTTAAAATCTCAAGTACCTAATTAATAATAACGGCAAATGGTCTCATCTTGTGAAGATGAAATGCCGAAACAAAACCCAGTTATTGGTCGAAACAAAGATTATACACTTGAAATGAATGTTATAATAACAACTTGAAGGAAATGACATACCTAACTCCTCTAGGTCAGCTTCGCTTTCATCTGACATGTCATTCAGACCCTGATCCCTGGCGGAATTTAACTGGAGCAAAGCTGGTAGATTGAGTCCATTACTCATTAACGCCTGTTGCTCGAGGTCGGGCTTCAGTGGAATCGAATCATATTTTAATCGGTTAGGACCTTTGTAGACATGAACATCGGTAGCCATGCTTTCTCCATTACCAGGCAATTGCAACCGACCAGGCAATTGCAATCGATTTCGATAAAGATTCAAGACGGGTAAAATCCTGGCTAGTTGAAGTCCATATGGTAACCTGAACGCTGCAGCGTTTTGAACTAATCCACCCGTGGCCGGGACTAACCCTCGGTACTGTGGGAGCTGTTGCAAAGTAGGAGCTTGCTGATAGCCTAGGGACGCGAGCCTTGTCCCGTAAGGCACAGTCAGAGGGTTAAGTCCAAGAGCCGCGCGATCAAGTCCTGCTAAAGCAGCCAGTGATAAGCCACGATTTTTCCGCGTTTTGCCGAGACGTTTGCTGGGAATTGTTGCGTTCTTATCGAACTTGTTATTATCGTGTAGAGTCTTGTTTTTAGGGATGTTTGTTGTTTTCGCAGAATTATTTTCGCCGCCATGTTTTTGTTTAGCATCTCGCGCACTTCCTTGTTGAACAAAAATAATGAAAACAACCACAAGCAAGAGACGGACCAGGTCTTGGAACATCGTCGCCGATCATATCCAAATCCACATTATTTGCCTTGGTTTAACCCATATTTCTTGGTCGAAGAAACTCGAAAATACAAAAGCGACGCCTACATTAGTCACACCGATGCTATTCTGGTTCCAGTAATAATAAATTAAAGACTAGTCTTTGGTTACATCATCTAAGAACAAATGCCTCTTGAATGACGTAAAACAGAGGTTCCATGAGTTGTTTTGCTTTCATTTCCTTAAAACTACTTCGTTAGCAATCCCTTTCGACAATTGTTTCGAAGGAGGGAAGTGAAAACCGATTTTGGGCAGTTTTCCATCTTAATATTTTGTACAAACTTTCACACGGCAGCACCTGTCTCAACCTGCCATATTCCGGTCAAGCCCAGTTCAGTCTTCGCAATTGCCCTGGTCAAATTACGAAGCCAGGGGGTCTTTAGAAAAATATGCGCCATCGTATCGCAATGTCTAGACAACTTTAGCTTTCATAAATGAAAAAAAAGTTCTTTATTTCAGCCTTTAATTCGTTTGCGCCATAATTGTTAGTTTGTGAATATTTCGTTATCTCCGGAAACACATATTTGATTTTAAATTTGTTCCACTTCGGTTCGTGTTTCCCTAAAAGGCATAACGATACGGTTTTGAGTTACATCAAATACTGCTAAAAGCACCCAGTTTACTCTCCCGAAAATGCCTGCATTCGAGCGCTTCAAGAGAAATAAATAATCACATTATTTTTCTCATAGCAGTTTCAGAATTGTACCAAATCGCTAAAGAAAGGCGAAACAGAGGTTCAAAAAACCGATTTGCGAAATGACGGTCAATTGTTTTCACAGGTATTTTGCTTGCTCAATTGACTGTCTATATTCCCTTTAACCTAATACTTGAAGAAGTCAAAGCCGAACTGCGATGGTAATTTCTACAGGAATTGGTTTTTTGCCTAAGGGGAAAACACAAAAAAATTTAGAGCAAACAAACAAGCA